TTAACAATATTAATTCTTCTAATCCATGAACATGGGATACTTTTCCATTTATTTGTGTCTTCTTCAATTTCTTTTATCAAGGTCTTGTAGTTTTCAGTATAGGCATATTTTACCTCCTTGGTTAAATTTATTCCTAAGTATTTTATTGTTTTTGATGCTATTGTAAATGAGACAATTTTCTGTATTTTTTTTCTCAGATAATTCATTTTTAGTGCAGAGAAATGCAACTGATTTTTGTATGTTGATTTTGTATCCTGCAACTTTACTGAATTTGTTGATTAGTTCTAAGAGTTTTTTTTGGTGGAGTCTTTAGGATTTTCTATATATAAAATCACATCATCTGCAAACAGAGAAAATTTTACTTCTTCCTTTCCAATTCTTATGCCTTTTATTTCTTTTTCTTGCTTGATTGCTCTGGCTAGGACTTCCAGTAATATGTTGAAAAGGATTGGCAACAGTGGGCACCCTAGTCTTGTTCCTGAACTTAGGGGAAAAGCTCTCAATCTTTCACCATTGAGCATGATACTAGCTGTGGGCTTGTAATATATGGCCTTTATTATTTTGAGGTTTGTTCCTTCTATAACTAATTGGTTACGAGTTTTTTTCGTGAATTGATGTTGAATTTTGTCAAATGCTTTTTCTGTCTATTGAGATGATCATATTATTTTTTCTTTCATTCTATTAATGTGATGTATCACATTTATTTATTTGCATATATGGAACCATCTTTGCATCCCAGGAATAAATTCCACTTGATCATGGTAAATGATCCCTTTAATGCGCTGGTGAATTCAGTTTGCTAGTATTTTTTTGAGAATTTTTGCATCTATATTCATCAAGGATATTGGCCTGTAGTTTTCTTTTCTTGTAGTGTCCTTTTCTGGCTTGGGTATCAGGGTAATGCTGTCCTCATAAAGTGAGTTTGGGAGTGTTCCCTCTTCTTCAATTTTTTGGAAGAGTTTGAGAAGGACTGGCATTAATTCTTCTTTAAATGTTTGGTAAAATTCACCCGTGAAGCCATCTGGGCCTGGCTTTTCTTCATTGGGAGATTTTTGATTACTGATTCCATCTGCTTACTAGTAATTGGTCCGTTCAGATTTTCTATTTCTTCCTGATTCAGTCTTGGTAGGTTGTACGTTTTTAAGAATTTTCCCATTTCCTCTAGGTTATCCAGTTTGCTGGCATATAGTTGTTCTTGGCTTAATTTGAGACACTCTTGGCTACTGGTTGAGAAAAGGACTATGAACTCTGTTCATAATCCTTCTCACATTTGTGTGGCAGGGTTCAGATATGTGATCTTCACAGTCCTAAATGCTGCTATACAGCCACCATCTCATCAAATGGTTCAAAAAATGATCATCCAACAAATACCGGAAAACGTGACACTTATGAAGGTTGAAACAACTTCTCTAGACAGTTGCTATACTATTGTGATTCCTTAAATAGGGGTGAAGGTCTGGATTGATCAGTTGATCACATTCTTAGATGTTAATGGTCTATCTTGAAGCTCAGGCTGAAGACTCCATAAGGGGAACCCTGATACCTGAAACCATCTATAACTACACAGCTTACTGTCTTCATTAGCATAACATTATTATTCCACTCTCATTATCAAAACTTTTCCCTGGAAGATAAAAGTTGCAAATAACTTCATTGCTCATTCTAGAAACTTCTTAAATAGACAGTATCAATAGAAAGTTTATACACCAAGACTCTCAGAACCCCTTGCCTTGCTGTGTCCATGATTCCTAAATGATTATATCATGATCCTTATTTAATTCTAATCAAGCCCCCACATTAAAAGATCTGCTTTAAATCAAACTTCAAAATCTCATAAACATCCTGAGTTTGCCCTTCCCTTTCTGAGACTCTGACAACAAGACTATGACTTTGTGGAAGTGGCATTCTCCCTTACTATTGTAATAATAAGCTCAGCTTTATTATCAACAGGTTGTTTTGATAATATTTTTGAGGAACCAAAGGAAAGTCACCGCTTACTTGGACAAAGTTACCACAGTTAACTCTTCCTTGAATAATTCTAGACAAGTTCTATTAAGTTCTAACTCTTCTTCTTTCTCTAGGATCCATCGATCTTTTGCTTTGACACATTTTTTAAAAAATTAATTAATTAATTAATTAATTTTTTTCCCCCCAAAGCCCCAGTAGATAGTTGTACATCATAGCTGCACATCCTTCTAGTTGCTGTATGTGGGACACGGCCTCAGCATGGCTGGAGAAGCGGTGCGTCGGTGCGCACCCGGGATCCGAGCCCGGGCCGCCAGCAGTGGAGCACACACACTTAACCACTAAGCCATGGGGCCGGCCCAACACACAGTTTTATATATGCTAAAAAAGAAGTTGATTATAACTTTCTTTATATTGGCTACATTCTGGAAATGTCTTCTTTCAGGATAGTTAATTCAGTAAATAAATGAAAAAATGACTAAAGTGGAAGAAACAGTAGGGGTATACAAGAAGGATTAGTCACCTTGCCTGGGGGGAACTCAGAGGAAGTGTCACAGAGGAGATCACACTTGAACAGAGTCTTGAAGGATAAGTAAGAGTTTTCGAGGAAAACAAGGGGAATGGCTATTTTACGCAGCAGGAGAAAGGGTCCAAAGGAAGAGAGGCAGGACATAGCATTGAGAGAATGGGGAACTGCTAAGGGTCTATATGACTGCAATAGAGTAGCATATGGCAAAGGAAGAAAAAAAGAGAGACAAAAGTAGACTAAATAAGCAATGAGATGTTGAAATTAAGAAGTTCTGAGGTAGAACAGCTTATGGTGATGAAAGAGTCCTGGGTGTGGCTATGGGTATGAGTATGAGTTACAGAGGAGTGTTGAGAGGAAAGACCTTAAACTTATAAAGTCAGAGAACTATCATGCTAGGATGTTGGATGGGCTCTCTACATGGCTCTAAATGGCTATATGGGCTACCTACATGACTATTTCATCCTAAAAAAACATGATCAGAAAACCTGGACCATAATGAAGTCCATCCAAAGTGATTAATAGCCAACAAGCCAGTAAGGGCATAAATGAAATAGAAGGCAATCCTAACAACACAAAGATCCATGATAGGGGTGAAAAAGGGTTCGAGGAAATCTCTTCTCAGAAAGAAATTATTTTTGTTCCTAATCACCATAATCACTGTTAATGACCCATCATACTTTCAGGATCAATAATAAATGGAAATCATACAGTAATCACCATAAAATGTCATTTTTTTTTAATTTACCATCTTTAATTTTATTTATTTTATTTTATTTTTTTTGTGAGGAAGACCAGCCCTGAGATAACATCTGTCACCAATCCTCCTCTTTTTGCTGAGGAAGACTGGCGCTGGGCTAACATTCGTGCCCATCTTCTTCCACTTTATATGGGATGCCGCCACAACATGGCTTGACAAGCGGTGCATCGGTGCGCGACCGGGATCTGAACCCCGGCCACTGCAGCAGAGTGTGCACACTTAACTGCTACACCACTGCGCCGGCCCGTAAAATGTCATTTTTAAAGTTCATTTATCTCTATTGTTTTATTTTAGTGAATATTCAATCATCACTCCCCTGACTCTTAGGTTTCTCAACCATAGGTCTTCATAAGGGATTATAGGACTTCATATCTCTTATAATTGAAAAGCCTCCCTCAGATTCACGTTTGTCAAATGTCATAGAAACTCACAAAAGTATACAAATTAAACATGCCTATTTGCATTTAGTTTTATATAACTATAATATAAAGGTCTTGGGCCAACAGTTGCACTGTGCTTGCCTCTCAATTCAAGGGTTTCAAGCTAAGGTAAGAGATTCACAACACCAACATGGGAAAAATTTACATTAAAGAAAATAAAATAAAACATGAATTTTTGCCAATTTGAAGTTCTCCAATTACTTTTTTGATTGTTAAATAATACATACATTCTACTGGAAATATAAATCATCCCATTTACTAACACTCCCAGTGGTCTAAGTGAATAGACCCATTTCAGTATGGTCCAAGTGTATCTCTTGATAAAGATCAGGAAGAAGATATGGAAGATATCATCAAGCGACAGAGAACAATATTAAAATAATTAGCACTTATTCAGCACTTTTCTCTTAGGATCCCAAAGCTTTTAAGGCACAACCTTCAATGTCACATCATTTTAAGGATATAGGTAAGGCAAAGCTATTTTTAGTTCCTTTTTATAAGATAGGAAAATGAATAATCACAAAGTTAAATGACTTCAAAGTTAATGTTATTAGTGATCAAGCAAAAAAATAAAATTAAGCTTTCTTCATACTTGGTTCAGGGCACTATGTTCTAAAACATGCTGCCTGTGAACATAAAATCTTTCAGGAATTCATATTCACAAAATGATAATGATGTACCCTCTTAGGAGTCACTTTTTTTTTTAAGTTAGATTCCTTTAGTGGACCCCATTAGTCCTTTTTCAAATAACTTTTTGGCAGTGGGGTAATTAAAGAGGGTTCTCATCTTAGAGCCGCAGAGGAGCTCATTACCACCCTAACTAGGACTGCTATCCAAGCTCTGCTCTCAGCTTGCAAAAACACCTGGAATAATGGAAATGTTGATTAACATATCAATACTAAGATTTTTAGAAGGTGAAAGCCCTAATATTCACATTCTTTTTTTTTTTGTGAGGAAGATCAGCCCTGAGCTAACATCTGCCAATCCTCCTCTTTTTGCTGAGGAAGACTGGCTCTGGGCTAACATCCGTGCCCATCTTCCTCCACTTTATATGGGACACCGCCACAGTGTGGCCTGACAAGCGGTGCATCGGTGCGTGCCTGGGATCTGAACCCCGGGCTGCCAGCAACAGAGCACACACACTTAACTGCTACGCCACAGGGCCGGCCCCCCTAATATTCATATTCTTGATGTAAACTTTCCTCGTTGCTCTTCTTCATTTGTTCACCAAAATGTCATTTTTAGCTCTCCTTCCTGTTGAACTACAAGCTCTAATTCAGTAGTCTATCTGAAATGATGACATACTCACTGGCTCTGAGAATGTTCTCCTTGCTGCTGCACCTGGACTGGACCTGCAGAGAAAGCATAAAGTCAGTAATTTAGGGCTTATAACATAGATAGCCAGATATGTATGCATACTTAATGGGCAAGCTCCTGAGGTCTAGAAGCAAAGGCTTTATATATCTCAGATATCAGAACATGTTAGTCAAAATATGTTAAACTTGTTCCATATATTTTTTATTTATTCTTTCCTTAAAGAAAGAACTGACTTGTAGAAAAAAACTGGGGGTACGGTATTGTAAATGGGACAGAGGTAAAACCAAAGGCAATTTTTATTGATATGTATTTGAAATTAGCATGTGGAAAAAAATTCAAGTTACCACATTTTCGGTTGTGAATACAGACTCTTAATCTTAAGGCACTGTGTATATCTTTTGACTAGAATAATAATGCAATTCAAGTAATAAGGTTGTAATCAAATATTCCATTGTAGTCATTTTTAGTTACATATGTTAATGAGGGGAAAATAGAGAAATCCTCGTACACAATATTTATGTGTGATTCTAATGACCTTTGTTATTTATTCAAATATTTTAAGTCAAAGTGGAACATTCTTTTAAATGTTACAAAACTGCTGAATTCAATAGCCATGTTGGATGGCATTAACACTTGTCAATTTCAAAGGCAACTGTATTTAGACTCCACAGCTCCTCTTCCCACTCCGCAGCAGCTTGCCCCAAATGGATATATACACAAATTAATTTCTATCGCTTAACACAATCTACTATTGTAATGAAACAACTTATGAAAGGAATGTTGCAACTTAGGGTGGGTTATGGTTGTCCTTCCCTGAAAAAAACAATTGTTAATGTTTAAAGAAAGAACAATAAAAAAAATCACAAACATACACACAAGAAAAACACACACACACCAAAAAAAGAAAAAAAAGGGAAAAATAATTTCAGATGTTAAAATTATTCTCTTTTGGCCCAGATTGTTTACTTAGTTTTAAATACACTGGAATGAAGAAGCTAATCTGGAAGATAATATTCTTATATTCTTTTACTCAGAGGTTTTATTGAAGGACAATTCTGGACCAAATGGGAAAGAAATTAATGACTACTTAAAGAAAACAATACAGGGAGGAAGACACAAGAGAGAGGAAAAGAAAAAGAGAGAGAGGTTTGAGGGAGTAAATCTAGACGATAGAAAAGAAAAGTATGGGCTTATAGAAGGGACAATTCATAAATGCAGAATGTTCTGCTATTTCTTAATGAAAATTCATACCAAGAGGGTAAGAATGACTAATGAACTTGCTGCAGAATAAACAAGCAAGTTGGCATACCATGGAATGAAGAAAGTGTAACTATACCACTACAGCCTCAAAGGAGAAAAGAAACAAACACTAACAGACAAATTAATAGACAAGCTTAATAAAGAGAGAAACTACATTTTAAAAAGCGATTCAAAGAACACAAGAGAAAGCTAAAAGATGAGAGAAAACTCCGGGAGAGAGGAGGAAAAGAAAGGGGAAAATGTTGAAAGACAAAAACAGAGTTCAAAGAAGTCAAATAGAAGTCAAGAAAGTCTTCAACAAGATGTAGAAACAGAAGGAGCCCAAACCCATAGCGCAAAGCAACGTTTGCGAATGGAAAGCAGCTCCTTTGATCAGTAATAGTTACTCTTAAGTCGTAGCCTCTATTCCTCCAGAGTTCATCTTTAAGCCCTTCCAATCTAGAGTGGAGCTAGTGTATGGACAGAAACAAGAGATTTACAATGAACAGAATAGTTCAGATGAATAGTTCAAATTGTCTTATCAAATGTTTCAACAGATTTATATAATGTCTAAATGGAAATGGTGGTGAAGAATTAGCTGGCTTAACCAAAAAACCCAAACCAAACTAAAACAACAATTAAAAAACACCCTCTCCCTTCCTTAGGTGGCTTAAAAAATTAACAAAAAATTCATTCATAGCATGAATTTAATAAAGAAACCCAAGTCTTGCTTTGTGGTACCTCAGTTTAGAACTATATATTTCAAACAGCTTTGGAAGAGAAATTTGGATGATGAAAACAATTCAATTCCCTAAATCTGAATATTCATCTGGGTTCACAAATTGCCAACAGCAGTATAACCAATGTTTTCTCATTTATATTACATTGGCTATTTGATCCAGATTTGAGAGAAATTACTTTTAAAATCAATGACTACATGAACTTCTTTACTTTCGTGATCTTGAGTATATATATTAAAAAAATGATGGAAAAAAATTAAAAAAAATATTTATGCATGTAGTGGATGCCCTTTTCTCTTGCACCATGAAACTGGTCATCTTTATAATATCTACTTAATTTTATAAAGTCCCAATATTAAGAGTTTACCTAACTCACAATGGGATTTACTTGAAAGAAAAAGTTGAGAAACAAATATTATTCTTGTTCAAACACATATGGATTATAAAGAAGGTAACACAGCTCTATCTCAAGTTTTATGGTTTGTTGTTTTTTTCTTTATCTTACTCTGGCTTTTTACTCAATGGGGAGAAAAAAGGAAAGTCTGAAAAAGAAAATAAAACAGAGAGTTGGGCCTAATACCAAATTTGTCAGGGTTTAAAAAAGAAAGGTATGGTTATAGGATTATCTATTACTTGATTCTATTGGATTATGTTATTTTACTACAATTAACATCTGATTTTATGGTGTTGACAATTAATTCCCCTTTCAACTGGAATCAAAACTAAAATAATGTGTAGAAACAGTATATTATATTAAAGTCAAAGGAGGAAATTAAAAACACAAGAGACTTACTGAAAATATAGGTATTCATTTACTAATCAAGACTGCTTTCAGACATTAAATAATTCATTTAGTTCATTTCAACATGTGTTTACACGTGTAATATAATTTTTGCTGAAGATCACATTGCCCATTAAGAAATCTTAAGCCATGAAACAGAAAATAAAAGGGGGGGGAGAGCACGTAATAAATGGTAAGGAAAAAAAGTGAAATGCTTTAAACGAAGCTGAAAAAATTATAACAAACAATCACAATCTTTAGATACAGTTAGAGAAGTGACTTACCTTATGCTTAGGTCATAACAAGAATAGCACAGTGTTTAAAGTCAGCTCTTCATTATGGGAGGTACAATTGAAAGCCATAGGTTATAATAACATGAATTGCTACACAGAAATGAAGACTTTTTCAGCCCAACATGAAAAGCTAACTCTTATGGGAAAACATTTCAACTTATGTTTAATTAACATGAAGAACAATTGAGGGTGTAAACATCAAAACACATGATCTCACATCAATAAGAGAGAGACAGCCCAATTTCTCAGGAACACAGATTTAATCTGTGACCATAATCTGTGACACATAAGGGAAGGCACATCACTCTAACATTGAAAGATGCATGCACAATGTATAACCACCCACTGACAATCCCCCTCCCCAACCCCCCAGCCCACTGGTACACACACAAGACCACTAAGATATAGGGAAAGAATGTAGTGCCAAGCTGTTATGAAGAAAGCAGGACACACGGAAGCGCAGCAGTGATCATGTGATTTGAGAGGTGTTCTTCCCTTAAACCATCCCATCACCATGCTTATTTTAAAGAAGCCAGGAAAAGACCCCCTTCAATGCTGCAGTAGCTACGAGCCCCCAGCTTGAAGCTAGTGTGTGGAATTTTGATCACCGTTCCCTGCGATGTCAGGGGCTCTCCAGTGGAAGCCAGATGTATAACAGCAGTTAGTGGGGTACAAATGTGTGAATAACAAACATCCTTTCCCTTCTGCCTTTCACAGAAGTGAGGGAGGAGAGAAACAAATGAAATAAAACCCATGTTAACAATAGGTTCATAACAATATAAAGATGTATAAATATTAAAATGGAGATTACATCTCACAGCAGGTTAATACAACTCAGGTTTCATAAAAACGGCCTCTATTTTGCTGCTCACCAGGCTAATTTGTATTCTTTTTCCTTGTAAATACTTGGAATAAATCTATACAATATGGCTCATATTGAAAAATTCTGAGCAGTCGGTTAGATGGGGTCAAAGTCAAGAACAAAAGAAGTCATCTTCTTTGATGGACATTAAGAAAGCCCTCTCTTTCTATTTTTAGCATGCTTTTCCTGGCCAGCAGTCACATTTTAAATTTGAAATTAAGCTTCTGTAAATCTGCTTACTTATGTAATCTGAGATATTCTATGGCAATGGTTTGGAAAGACCCAATTTAAATTTTAATCATTTTACGTTTTAAAAAGCAAACAACAGAAAAGACTATTTAGAAATTGTCACTAAGTTTCCTAGGTACTTTACTGTCAATAAAACTTATTTTAACATGGGCTTTTCCTGTCAATAATAGGGTCATATCAGCTCATTAGAAAAATCTCAGCTTTGCTTTCCTATTACTGATGATAGTGGTAAACTTTATCTATTTTATTTTTTGTATGAGATGAGTTTTGATTCATGTGTGGCATGCAATCTAGTTAGCAGATTTTTAATTGTTCAAAGATCATTTATTATATTACTATTTTCTCTCCCTCATCGTCTTCTTAGCAGGCCAGAATATCTTGACCTTCCCTCTAGCATGCTTTAATATTTTAGGCTCTGGGCCCTCCTTTAATCTATTTCCTCATGGGGAAAATAAAGACTACTATGGGGCCCAAAGGAGATAACACACGTATCAGCAATTTTTAGCTATTAAGGTGGAAACAAGTAGTTACTATGATCAGTGGAGCCACTGACAGTTGTGAAATAACTCTGCAATTACATACCCTCCCCACCGTTAACTTCCTCATCAGCTCAAAACAGAGGCAAATTCTTGTTTTTGACCCAAAGAAAGAAAAAAAATCCATGTACAGTTATGTTTTTCAATGGAGATTGACTAAAACTTTTTGGACATTTCATAGCCATATGGCCACATGTACTGGTAGAAATGCAAGCCATAAAACCTAAGGCATGGAACAAAGTCTGATCTAGCTCCTCTAAAATATTTCTTGTATTTTTGAGCTTTTGGCCTTAGACAAGCTATTTCCTCTCTCTGGAATACCCTGTGGCTTATTT